AAGTGATTACGAAACTGGAGAGGTAAGATTTTATATTATTTTATAGCAAAATAACAGATTGAGACCGGAAAGAAATGAGAAACTTGCGTCATGTTTATGCCTAAATTGGAAGTCACGCAACCATGTCACGGAATGGATAGCGTTACGGCAAAGCACGGTTATTTTTTAATATCACCCTTGAACCAATCAGTTTTCTTTATTTATATCATCTGACCTATGTAAACAAGCTAAGATACCAAGCCTTTGAAAGTACAAATGGCGTCGGAAACCATTTGTTCGGGAAGAACCGTCGATCCAACTTCTGCGACATCCTTTCTGCGTGACTAAAGGCGAAAGTTCTGTTCGCGATGAATAATGCAAATCTCCAACTTTACGGGGATCAAAAAGAATGCCACGTTCATCCAAAAAAGCGGCACAAAATGAGAGATAAGAGACCCCTGTTCGCAGCGCGATGCTCGCAACCTACCAATAGTGTCTTCTTTCGCGGATGTGCCGGGTCGAAGTTTGGCTATTTTGGCCAATTTACTGTGTTTGTATGGAAGTGCAATATGACTCTTATATGGGATTTGCGTAATTCGTTTGGGATCAAAGACGAAACGAGTGTGAACCTCGAAATTTCGTCCAAAGCAGCAACTCACTAACACGATAGCACACCGATGCTCGCAAGCACGATAATTATTTTCATTTTGTCAAAATTTTTTAATATTAGAACTTTGCCATACAAATCCTTAGAAGCTTCGGACATTTTTAAAGGGCATTAGGAAAACTCTGCGCATGCTTAGCCGCCATGATGTCCTTCATTTCTGCCCATGAAAATCAGAGGGGCAGTACTTCTGAAACTTGAAAAGACACTCTGAGGAGAACTTCTGTATGAACCACACATCTACATAGCCACAAAGGTCACTAGCTCCACTATCCATGTCAAGAAAACAATGACAAAAAAATTGTATGCAGAGATGCATCAACATTTTACACTGAACACAAATTTTATCCCTCTTCAACTTGCTCATTACCTTTTCCTCTTTCTCTCTCCCCTATTAATGGACTCACCTTCTAAGGCGAGCACTGAAAAAGCTGAAGAATTTCCCACATCTTTGATAATCCTTCACATAACACAATTCCCTTAGGAATGCTGCCTTTTATTTTAATTACCACAGCAAGATAATAATTTTCTAGGGAAATAAAATCAGTTACAGTATCTTGATTACTTTTGTATGACTAAGAGTGAACATCATCACTTATTTTGAATCAAAGCTGATGTCATTCTATGGAATGGCTAGTGGTACATTATTGTTGAAAGATATGTTGATGAGCACAGAATTGAAACTGATATGTAAACATGGATAGAAAGTAGAAACATTGAGGCTCTTTTCTTTTAAGGGATATGCCTTCTCTTTTATTTTTCATATATATAATTTACCATTAGTAAATTGCTGTTGACCCACTTTTTTTTGAGAAGTGAAACAAGCATTTAATAATAAAAACATCTATTGCTGATTTCCTGGCTATATAAAGCCACCTAAATTTCAAGATTAGAAAGCAATTGTAATTGAAGTTCCTGTTCTTTCCCCTCTCACACCCCTGTCACTTCTTTATCATTTAGTAATTTTTTTATCTAGCATATATTTGAATTAGGCGAATTATTGTGTCAATATTATTACTACTATTGTAATGTACTTTTTTAACATGAGAATTAATCAAAAATAAATTCATAAGTTTACATTGATGACCAACACTTCTGAGATAAAGAGTTAAACAGTACAGTACTTGGTTAGCTGATGTTGTAGAGCACTGAACTGCCATGCAAGAGGTCATAGGTTCAAACCCCAAACTGGACCAACACCCAGAGTCTTAAAATATCTGAAGGGAAGGTGCTGTCTTTGTTACAACATCTACCAATGGTTAGGCATTCTAGTCTTCTCGGATAAACATCTTCTCTTGACTGGTTAGAAAGTGTTAAAAAACCCAAGCACTTCTCCCACAGAAGGGGAACATAGCTACCACACAGTAAGTTTTACTGAGCCTGGTTGCACACCATGTTCCTTTAATTCGCCTCTAGATGGAATTAGAGCTTCTGCAGTGACAAATTTTAGTGCATTCTTCACAGAATATCCACCACCGGAAATCTTTGTTAACAGCCAAGTTGGTAAAGTCAATATTGTTTATTCCCCATTTTAATCTTGCGTGCCTCGATAAACTTTTTGGGTACCATGAATACACCAAATTGTTGGTACAACTTATGAACTGGAGCTGATAAGTTCTTGAAACATTTAACTCTTAAAATGCACCTGAAGTAAAATATACATTTTTCTTGGTTGCTACTTTATAACTAAAAAAAAAATACAGATTAGCGAGTTAAACAGTCAAAACCTCAAAGGTTTAAGGAGGGTCCAGTTGGTGAGCATCCAAAACATTTGTCTTACAGAGGAAGTGATGTAGTTAGTGGTTCCAAATGGTGTTGGGAGTGAGCTAATATGTAGCTGGTGGCCCCATTAAAGAAAACTGCAAAAACAAAACTGAAACTCCAGGCTTATCAACACACTATTTTCCCAAAAAAGAACACATGCACAAGTGGACATGATTTGTGTGTATTCATTGCAAAGAGTTTGTCCCGAAGAAGTCTTATGTTTATGTGTGATTCATTTTGAGGACCTGTTTCAAACACAAGCCTGTGTTCTTGATGGACAAACTGCGACAACCTCTGGAGCTGAAAAAGCAGCTTATCTAGGGCTCAGATCCAATGAAGCCAACAGTTGTGCCTCACAATTCTCCTCTCACCAAGCGAAAACAATGAAGAGTAAGTACATGCATGTTAAGTTAATATTTAAGACATGCTCCTGGATTCCACTATTGTGATTATTATTCCCAAGTGCCTTCAAAAATGTATTCCCCATTCTTCTTGTGAGATCACCAGATTTTTAATCAAAATTGACTGACTACAAAAAAAGTCTTTTTTTTCAAAATTTGCTCTCTTAACATTATCACTTTTGGAGAAATTTAAGTTGAATGAGACCAAATATGAATGAAATTGTATATTCATCACTAACCATTTGAGTATTCATTCCTTTAGACTACTGGGGAGGTAGATGAATTCATCAAGATGGAAGCTAAGACCATTTCACTGAAATTGGCTTCTTTTACGGTAAGCTCTAAAGACACTGCCCAAACCAGCTTTTTGCTGTCATTTACACGAATGTCTTTACAGGTTTAGATGGTAGTTTGGATTGCTCCAAAGCTACATTAATGCTTCTTGTAGTGTACCATTACTTTAATCTTCAGTATGATACAAATCAGAAGCTCTTGTTCCAACTCTAACAGGGACATGTACTGGGATTGCAACTTCTACTATGTAGTCACAAGTGTGCAACAATATTTCAAGAAAGTGCACATAAGACAGAGCCATAAAGGACTCAATATGTCCTTTCACCTTGACTGGAACTGTATTTTAAAGAATGTATTTTGTGTTTTAAGGTGCTAGTGGTTCAAATGGTCTTTGAATTGACCTTTGAGTTTCATATCAAGATGTGTCTTATTGTGACAATACCAACAGCATGACACAGCTCACGATACCCTGGATGTAGTTAATATATTCATTTCATGTTGCTTTGATTGTGCAATATCTAAGTTCTTTTTGGCATTGTGATTAAAACTCCACATTGAAGCCACTGTTTCCTTCTTGTTACACTTATATAGGTACTGTTGTTTCATTTCAACTTTTCATTTGTGTCATTATTTCTTAAATGGCCTTCACAGGCTCCATCATGCCTTTTAACCCTTTAACTCCCCAGATGCGATTGCTTATTCTCCCCTCTAGCTGCTACACATTTCCTTGTAAATTGGTTACTCATATTTGATGCTCAATCAAGGTAAATCTTATACCTGATGAGTTTGAGTATTCTCGCTACCTGTTTGCTGTATAATCTACAGATATTAAAAAGGAGAAGTTACATGTTAATCACTTCTGGGAGTTAAAGGGTTAAATGCAACTCACAGCTGCCATAAGATTTTCAGAAGATGTTATAAAAGGCGCACAGGGGATGAGATAACACATTGAAATAGTTTTAAGTTGTTGCACTGGTAGCACATTAGAGATGTTGAGTCAAGGTACCAGCATGGAAATAGATAAGTATGGATTTCACCAGAGCCCAGTGGTTGGCTTGATCAATAAGAAACCTTGAGAACTTGTTAGATTAACGGGTTACAAAAATAAGTGAACTGTAGGTATTGAGAACATAGCAGAAGTACATTTACCAATTTGTAAGTAATATTACTGTAGGACTACTGAACGATGTGAAAGCACTGTAATCAAGCAACATTATTGTACCAGCTGTACCAGCTTATTAAATACTTGATCGATGAATATAGACAGAATATGAAAAGCATTTGAAGAGCGAGTCTACACTAAATGAATACAGAAACGTTTCAAATATCAATTGAACGATCTTGCCAACATTCAGGCTAGCTTGCCTCTCAACACACAAAACAACTATGGCGGAGAGGCGCGTTTGCTGTAAAATTTCAACGAGTTGAGAAAGGAAAACCTGGTCAAACTCAACCAAGCCAGCGAGATGGTAGCTGTAGAATTATTGTTCACTATGTAGTGGCACACGCAGGATCACATAATTGAGGCCAAAGCATCCGTTACTTCTAAACAAACGCCGTTTACGTGAAGTTCTAAACTTGCGAACGAATCGCCTTTCACCAAAGGAACAGAGAATTTTCACTTACCTCCCCAAACCATACTTATGATCTCATTAAGAAGAGCGTTACGACTTCCACTTACCAACCCATGTCATGCTTATGGTCTCACTGTGAAGAGCGTTATGATTTTTCAATTTATATATGTACCGCCCACGTGAACCGACAACCATTTCTCCCCTCGCCCTACCCTAGGGAGAGTAGTACGTTTCTACGAAAACGAGGCTAGCTGTCAAGAACGTCGTGTAATTAGCACGAGAAGACAAATTGCAAATGGCGGCAGTCTATTGCTCCTGGACACAATGAAGCTTGTGGACAGTACTATTCGTAGCTTTCGAGTTGCAAAAGTATTTCGAGAAAATAGTGACCGAATCAATCACATAAACTTCTCGCCAAATGGCGAGACTCTGATCACTAGCAGTGATGATGATTCCATAGTTATTTATGACTGCCTTGAGGGAAAGTGAGCACGAAGTTTAGAAAATTTCAATTCAACTCCTAGACAGAAGAATGACTTCACTTCATGGTTGTCATGGCAGATATCTTAACGATAACACAAAACTCTAACTTTTTTGTCGTTTTATAGGCCTAAAAGAACCCTTTACAGCAAGAAGTATGGTGTGGCACAAATCCAGTACACACATGCAACAAACACAGTGATTCACACTTCGACTAAGATTGATGGTGAGCTCAAACAACAACTTTTTTTTTTTATTCTTAGAATAAAATTTACAGCTATTTTGACACGCAGATAGCTCATACGAATCTTGGTTTGGCCAGTCTTTGATATCTAATAAGGTCTAATGAGGGAATCCTAAATTACAATACATTACTAATTACCGTAAATAATTACAATGAAAATTTAGCATTTTGAATGATAATATAAGAGAGATGAAGGAAATTTTTATTCTAAGATAAGAAAAAAAAATTAAGAAATTTTTAAACTGGTAATCAATACCCTATTCTGTAGTGGTAAACTCTGGAGAAGAAGTAATGTCACTTGAAATGCTTACTGGGAAAAAAAAATTATGTAAAAGAGTGTTTTCTTGTAATCCATTCAATTGTCAGGGATTTTTACCAACAGCCACACAGTGAAAACAACTAGGGGGCTATATTCACCGTAGTATACCTTCCTCTAGAAACTTTATTTAGGGAATAATAATAATTGTTGCTAAGTTGTTATTATTTTTATGATTTATTTTTATCATAATGCTACTACCACAAACACCCAAATGTAACAAGTTAAGAACTGATAAATTTTTATATAAAAAAATAGAGAATTATTTAAGTCACTGTCATCAGTAGCTTCATGCAGGAGACATTGTCAAAAATTAAACTAAAAATGATGGAATTTCTTGGTCTGATCAACAAGTTTAACCTTGAAAATCAAGTAAGATTTATTAGGGAAGACTCAGAATACTCTAATCAAAATAATCTACACTTTCAAAACCTCTGATGTATATTATCTATAGATTCCTAAATCCAAAGTGCTCAGCACATATGTATTTTACCTGCCAATTTACTCAGCTCAGAAGGTTGCATTTATGGTAATATCAGTGTTGGTAAAAAATTTGTTTGTTGTTGTTGTTTTTTTTTTCCATAAAAATGTATTAGAGAAGGGAAATCAGCCTCAAATCCTTGAGGATATTGAAGGCTGAAGCCTAAGGCCCCTGTCCCAGTTGTGGACTTTTTCTCTGTTGTGCATTTCAATGTCTCCTTCACACAGTCTTTCTTTCTTTTTCCTTCTTGTGTCTTTTTCATGGAAGTACAGGGGAGCTTATCTACTCTTTATGATAAACAGGATCTTAGATTAAAATGCGACTGATTGTAGCAGTGTGAAGATCAGAACTCTTCTCAGACTCTGTTTTCCCACAGAGTCAAGCTCTGTTGTCAAAAAGATTAAACAACTATTGTAATTTTCCTGTTCTACTGTTTCTTGCAACAGACACTATCCGTTATCTTTCTCTACACGACAATAAATATCTCAGATACTTTACAGGACACACAAAGAGGTAAGAATTTTAATTTTAATTACACTTGATTTTTTTCCCCTTGCTTTTGCGCAAGTTTGGTGTCTTGTCACAAAGATTTATATTAATTGTTTACTTTTAAGTATTGCTTATCTAAAAAAGAAGCAAAAACAAAACAAAAGAACATAAATTTTATTGGTTTGAAGCTTTTTAAGCCAACAGAAGACTTGAACAACAATCAGTATGTAATTGTAAGAGAGAAACAAAGATTCTGTTAAGTGTTTTAAACCTATATGGATATGGTAGATTACTTGAATTGATAGATAATTGACCATTAAAATGTGTGTCTGTTATAACAACAAAAGTAAGTACCAAATGAAAAACTTGATCTGTAATTGACAAGTGATATTATTTCACATCCTTTTCTATTGTTATTTACATCATTTGGTAAATTCTTTGCCTCACATACATGTGTGTTTTTGTAGAGTTATGACCCTACACATGTCTCCTATGGATGATACTTTTGTATCAGGATCATTGGATAGGACACTCAGGTTGTGGGATCTGAGATCCCCTAATTGTCAGGTACTTAAAATGACCATGAGTTTGTTACAGAAGAAATCACAAAAATGATTGCTAATTATCACATGGAAACAAGAAAATTTATATATTATTTTCATATTTATTTTCATTGAGGGGTTGATGCATGTGAATGGGAGACCTGTGGCAGCTTTTGATCCAGAGGGTCTGATTTTTGCAGCTGGAGTGGACTCTGAAATGGTTAAACTGTATGATCTGAGGTCTTTTGACAAGGTATTTCTTGCCAATATATTGTAATGAAACATATCCAACAGTATTAGCTCAATGTTCACATATAACATTCCTTTAGAACAGTTGCCACAAAAAGAGCACTGGAAACTTCTGTTTAAAAAGCAAATGAACTACAGTAGGGGTTACCAACCATATCTATTTGGTAGATGGAACACTTTGGAAGGTTTGGTCAAAACAAAAAGAGTTTTAAAAGTCTTAAGAGTTTTAAAAGTTTTTTAAAGTACAGTTGACAGTTCCTTCAATGGGCATTATATGGGCCGCTTATTTAAACAAGATCTAACCCAAACTGCGGTTTTCCGCAAGCAGTGGGCCTCAGTGATTCTCCTTAAGAAGGTTGATTTCATTTTAATAGATGTCTGTCTACTTTTAGGTTTCAGCCTGTTGACACTGTTCACAAAAAATTGATTCTTAGATAAAAGGTTTGGCTAGATTGAAGAAGGCTTAGAGTGCGGTTTTGTTAAGCAACAGCTAAACTTTGTTTAAACAACCAGCCCTATGTGTTTACTTGTGATGTTTTAAATGCATTGTGCACTTATGCAGGAAAGTTACTTTAATTTTATTTGTCACCAATATGCTTGGTAAATAAAGTGGGTCCACAAGGAGGGGGACTTAGATTTAAATACCCTCCTTGTTCAACACTAAGGGCAAAGTTTACTGTTTTTTTTTTTTTTAGTGATTCTTTTTTATTTTAGTTTTAACATTTTCTTTATTTTGACCTTGCTTTTCTGTGTTATCTAACTTGTACTTTCAGAACAATGTTTAAGCATAACTGAATTGTTTCCTTCAGGGTCCATTTTCTACTTTCCACATTCAAAATGACCCAAGCATTGAGTGGACAGGAGTTAAGTTTAGTTCTGATGGGAAAATGATCTTATTGGCTACAAATGGAGGAGTTATTCATTTGATTGATGCTTTCCAAGGAACACAGTTACATACATTCACTGTAAGTACCGCTTTTATTGGATGTACAATAATGTTATTCAACAGTACACTTAAAGTCAGTGTAAAAATCTGTCATTGGTAAAACTTCTGGTAATATGTAGAGCTTTCTTTGGGGCTCATTCACAGTTGTGTGATCTGTAAATAGGATTCATAGCAGCTTCAAAAATTAGAAATTTGGCTAAAATGTGCAAGAAACTCATGGGTAACAAGATAATTCACTAAATGACTTTAATGGTAAAATCAACTGTAATCGTGAAGATTCTAGAGGCTGCGGCTCACTCAAATCCTCAACAACTACAGGGGTGGCACAGTGCAAGGTTACAATAATTCAAACTCCTCTATGTAGATTTAAACTGATGTAATGACAGATCAAAGTTCAAAGATTTAGATGGATCAGTAGTGTTTGACATGAAGGGTCATAGATAGTGAAGATCGAAGTTTATTGGCCTTAGTAGCAGTAGTAGTAGAAAAATAGTAGTAGGTTTAGGTGCAGGTTAAGTTGTAGGTTCAAACTGAAATACGATGATTCAAAGTAGAGTTTAACTTAGATAAGGCTAAAAAGAAATGGCAGACTGTCAAGAGACATGGTACAAAAATAAAGCCAGCAAACTTCTAGCATGAAATGAATAGATATGATGATTCTCATGTCATAAGAAGATACAAACAACAGTGTCATACTAACTGGCAACTAAAATGAGCCTGAGAGAATAACAATTTGAAAAGAAACAAGGACAATTGATGAATAAGATCGTTTCACTATAATACTATAATGATAAAACTGAGTGGACTGAAAAGGGATGTTCTATGACTGAGAAAAAAGCTGATGATTGTGCGACCTAATAAACAACAAAGAAAAGACTTATGTACTTTGGATGACAACTCACACCAAAAAAAAAGCAGACACTTGATATAGTGGTAGCTTGGATCCTTCTGATTGTAGCAAAGGTGGCAGTGTAGCTTCAACTAAGTTCTTTTTTACCAATATCATAATTTTTTAGGCTATGAAGAGTGAAAAAAGCTAAGGCATTGCAAAAAGTAGCACTCACAATAAGAACTATTACCTGGCTAGTGAAGATTCCAAAGTTATGATAGAATTCCAGGAAATCTTGATTTCTGCTGACACCTTCATTTGAGACTACATGATAAGTAAATGTAAATAAAAAGGAACTCTGTAGGAAATCAGTAAAACAAATGGCGTTTCAAAACTAACATCCATCACCTACTAATATCTGCAATCCAAAGGTATTTTGAACATGAATCTGCTGCTTTGGCTTACTCCATTAGCTACAATGTACGTCAAAGAAACTGCTCAGTGACCTGCTGTAATATTAGTTTGTTAAATTTCCCTTTATTTTATGCTATCTTTTTAGGGTCATACTGTTACAAGGTCTACTCCAGTTGAAGTTTGCTTCACTCCTGATGCACAATATGTCATCTCAGGTACAATATTTTACATCCATATATATGTATATCCATATGTGCAATCTTTGAATCAGAGAGCAATTTCTTTCAGTTACTGAGTATCAAACTTGATACTTTTGAACCATATTTCATCACATTACCTTCTGAAACAGGTAAATGTTGCCTCTTACATTGTTGAACAGGTTCTCAAGATGGACGTGTTCACGTCTGGGGGTCAGACAGTGGACAAAAGCTGACTGTGTTAGAGGGCAATCACCCTGGTCCTATCCAGTGTGTTGCATTCAATCCCAAGTACATGATGTTGGCCAGTGCTTGTACCAACATGGTCAGTATGATTTTTAGATGATGCATACATGTATGTGTACATATTATGCACAGTTGGAAGGATGGTAGATTTGAAGATTATAAGTTGATAACTGATTAGAGTTGTTGGTGATTCCCCATAATGAAACTTGTAATAGCTTTCCCATGAAACCTTACACACTGTTGTCACATGTCAAGGAGATGATGAGAAAAAGACTTATCATTAAAGGGAGCGGTACTCCATGCTCATTTCTGTGGTACATTTCTTTCTCATTTGGGCAATCCCCTTCTGTTTGACAACAATTGTGTAAACCAAACTGTGAACAAAAAAGGGCACTGTTTTTCCTTTCAACCTTTGATATCATGCAGATTCTACAGCCATTCAACCAATTACCGGTAGTCACGTGTGTTTCTGAAAATTGTAACTCCCTTCTCCTAAGTAGATACTTTAAGTTTTACTTCAGTGATAGATATCTGAGAGATCTTTAACAACAATACAACCTCCTTCCTTTTCTTCTTTAAAAGGTAATGACTTTTCATATGGTAGTGACTGTCTGAACTCACTTGGTTGTAATGCCCATTTGATTAAAGTATGATTTCAATCCAAACTCAAATTAAGTAGTTAAATATTTTCACTGGAACAGCATGATGACTTGAGCTGTGAGGAACCATGCTGAGATCCAAAACAGTGTTGAGACAAATTATCTTTTATTTTGGTATTTGTAGGCATTCTGGTTACCTAATTTAGAGGAGGTGGATGAGGCAAGCAAAAGATCATTACCAAGCTAACATGAAACTGTTTGTTGAACAGATGTAGTTACCACTTAACCCTATGAACTGAGTATAAACAGTGTGTTACCATGAGGTGTTGGCTACATTGCTGTGGTTGATTTAGGAAAAGAAACATTGTAAATAGCATATCTGGTGGCATCCTTAGTTTTTTTGTTTGTTTGTTTTCTAATACAGAAATGAAATAACACCATGAAAATTTGTGTCAAGGAAACTAGTTCTCTCAACTTTACATAGTAGTGGGATAACTGATGAAAGTGCCTTTGCATTTTCAGTCTCAGAACATCAGTCAAGCACCTGAACAATCAATAGTTTCAATGTTTGAGACTGTAAACTTAAATGAACACAGCTGTCACTCAAGGTGAAATGTGTTGCAGCTTTGTTTGCAAAATTAAAGCTTTGCTATCTGCAGTAGTTAGTATATTACTAGGATGACTCTGAATTGTATCAACAGACATTTTGAACTATGCAGAGAAAGATACATCTTAATATGATGATCACAATTCATCAATAAAAATGGGGGTCAGCCAGCTCATTATTGAGTGAACCCTTTAGCCCCTAAGAGTGACTAGCATCTAATTTCTCCCTACGGTATCACCCCTGAAACAAACACGAGAGTCATGAGAACAGAGGAGATGATCACCAACTAGTGTGGCTCTTGACTATTAAACAAATTCTCCTTGTCAGCCTCTTTGGAAATGTATGGGAAAAAGTATGGAGAATATGCATTCTGATGCTAGGGTGTAAAGGGTTGAGACATGTAAAGCAAGAATTGGGGTTTTATTAATTGAGATGGTAAAGTGTCACTATGGTACCCCTAACTCTTAAAAAAATGAACATAACTTGTTGTGAAACGCTATGGCATTTTTTTAACTATCAGGTAATTTCAAGGAAACTAAAGAAGTTTGTGAACTTTGATCCATCAGAGAATTGGGGTTTAAAAATAACCAAACCAGTCAGTCTCAAACTCAGGTAGCTGTTTTAGCCTCCTTGAATCCCAAACCCTTATTAAGGAGTAAGGTTCCATTGATAGGGGTGCCAAATACATTGTTATTTGACTGAGAGGTTGGTGCAGATGACAGGTGGACCCAACTTGTCTCTCCTCATTTGGACAGAATTATTAACAAGTAAAATGTGAATGAAAAGCAAATTAAATTTGCTCCTCATTCTTTTGTTTGAAGGAAGTTTTTGTTTTGTAGGATGTTTAAAGCACCCATCTTGTTACCTCACTTGACATTTTGTGTCTATATTTTCAAGAAATTTAGTAAAGAAATCTTTATTTCCAATGCATTAAACAGATTTCCCAACTCTTTTAAACAGAAATGTTCAGAGATGTTTTCAAAGATCTCATCAAAAGTAGGATACATCTTTAAGAAACCATCACTTTATTCCATGTACAATTATGTACAGACAAAGTTCTATAGTACTTTACATTTAGTTGCTAAATACAGTTAATCTTGTGTGTAATAGAACACATAATTTAATAATATAACTAAATTACTGAGTGAAACTACCGTGTTTAATGGCAAACAATGAATCCTTCACTACTACCAAGGTATTTCATTTTAAATATTGTATAAATCTAAACTCATTCTAATACAAATAAAGAACAAAAAGAATTTTTTTTTTTCAGTTTATGACATTATGATTTGAGAAAAATATCATACCACCCTCAGAGCCACAGTTAGTTGAGAGAACCTTCAAACAAGTACAAAACTATCTCGATTCTTTAGCAGTAGAATAGACCATTTTTATTGGTGACTGCCTGCACTATTCCTACAAATATTCAGTCCAATCGCTTACCCACCAAACATTCTAAGGTACCGTCAACTTGGGCTTCCATTCAAGTTTGCCCACTTTTGAACCCATCACTGAAAACATGAGTAAATTTGTACTGTTTAGATTTCCTTAAAGTAATAATTTTCCCTATTTATTTCCTGTAAGTTAACTTTATACTTTGCCTAACATAATTACATAAGATTTCTGTTAAAACTAGGTTATTCTTTTTATTTTTTTACCAACTGTAGTTAACAGCTCTTTATCAGTTCCTTCAACTACCTGTGGCACGGGGAAACCCAATTTGATTATGATAAGTTTCCCCATTACATTAGTCAATTCCCCAGCCCAAGAGGATTGTATTCTAAAAATTACTAAACACCATCCTTACGAACAATCTGTAAAAGTTGTAACCATATTTCCCACTTTCCTTGTAACAGTTCGGCAACTTCTACCTCCTAAAAATCAAAAGATGTATGATTATTACTAACATAACAACAAAGACATAATTTTGCATCACTCAGAATACTTGAATTATATTATGTTCTTACCAACTAAGCATGAGGGCCATACTAAGGAATATATTGCCATGAGGTTGTGGTAGTACAGACTGAGTGCTGTGAGGTCTGTACAAAAACAATCAAGGACCAATATTCCCAGTATGCCTCAAGCAAGCCAGGTTAGTAAGCAGTTAATTATAAGGTACTTGGACCAAACTTGTACATTTTGAATTTGCTGGCTTTTGCAAACAAAAATATGTGGCTCATGACTGTTTCCTTAGAAATGGTCAGTATGGAAAAATAGTGACTGAGCAAGAACCAATTAGAATGTTCAGATCTACCTCAGGACAACCTTGGCATATTATAATGATGTAGGTTAATGTTATTTGCAACATGGATGTATTTAAATGCAGTGCAACAACACACCCACTCACACTTTTTCATTAACCCAGCATGAAAGAAACCTAGAAAGCTAAGATGACCAACGGAACATCTAGCATTTTCTTAAATGTCATACACACACACCTCACCAATGTTACTTTATTTTATTTCAACCAAAGATTCATTTCAGTGGATGGAGTTAAAGCACCTAACAAAAGTATGCCACATCCAATTTGATAAGAAACAAAGACCTGACTTTGAATTTTGCTTCTACTTTCCCCAGTACTACACTTGAAACCTTGTGGATTAATTTATCGCGAACCACACAGTGATAAGTAACACTTCTAGATGCTGTTTGAACATTAATTAGCTCTTCCGTGGTATAATTTTGATAAGCTATTTTTTAAACCCATGTAAAATAAGCTTTCATGTTTCACTTACTTGATTGTGTTTGTTTAAACTCTGAGTGTCTGACATTTCTGTGGAATCTATCCCCATTATCTTCAGAGTAAAAGTCATCTCTATGTCTACCGCTGTGAAAGCTGTCATCACTAAAGAATGAATCTCCAAAGCCACCAAACTTAAATCCTCCTCCAAAAAAGTCATCTTCCTCATCATCCTCCTCATCATCATCATCAAAGAAATCATCAAATCCTCCTCCTAATGAAAACTTAAAACCTCCACCTCCTCCCCTCTGATTGTGTCCATTTCCAAAACCAAAGTCAAAGTCTTTAAATAAATCATCAAAGCTCTGGAATCCTTGATGGAAGTTGAAGCCATCATTATTCATCCCTTCTGATCCAAATTGGTCATATTGTCGCCTTTTCTTCTCATCAGATAGTACCTCATATGCTACAGGTATGGAAGGGGAAGTAAATTTGTTAGCAACATCTTTGAGGTCAGTGGTGTTAGATTACGTTTTATGGTTAATTTTATGATAGTGAACTAATTATGCAGTTAAAATATTGAAGGTAGCATGGGCTTGAAAAAAAGCATTGAAAGTTTGAATTCCTTTCAGTACAAATCAGTGTTTGGTAGACTGGATTTTGTGGTTTCATAATGGCTTTGATTGTTCCATTGACACTTTCTCAAACAGACACTTGCAATTTCTTCCACAGTACAAGACAGACACCTATACATTAAGACAAAAAGTGTTTACTAAGTAAAATATAACACACATGAAGACATCAAAACTTTGTCTGTAGACTGGAGGTTCCTTTATTGAGGATGAAACTAAAATGTTCGTGGAAACTGCTAGACATCTTCGATCCTGCATTTCACCTCTGACCTGACTGTACAATGTACCCTTGAATTTTCTTACACGTTTAATTTGTTCCTCAAATTGTTCGGGTACACCTTATGTAATCATGTACTTTTAACGTAACCATATAATTCTCCGACAATTTTAGTAAGTTGGTTCTAGATAGAATAGCACGACATAAATCGAAATGATAGCATTTCCAAAAAGTTTCAAGACATTTCATTCCGTCTTAAGCAGAAATTAAACCATTGTGACTCAAATGTTGACAACACGCTTCACTTGAAAATCAAAACATTAAAAACATCAAGATATTGTTGTGCAATCCACAAGTGCAATGTAATGCAAACAATTGCGGAATTTACTAGAATCCATCAATCTCTATAAATAAGAACATTCGTTTAAGGAACTGAGGCGATCGCCACTCAATCATGAATTACCATGGTAAAATTTAAATATCTCGCCAAGTGGTTTTGACAGTGATTATAGCACAGAACAACACAGAAATCGACACCCGGTGTTTGAAGATACCTAACTTCTGTAGTGGGTTTTTGCGAATCTATAATCCACGAAAAACGAATTCAAGATTTCCTTTTACATTTCGATTAGGAAAATAAAACCTTAATTAAAAAAAGAATTGGTGAAGGTGACTGGTAAATCTTGTTCAATACGATTGTTTTGCCTCTAAGGGGCTCAAACACTATCGACAATCACATTTCAAGCGAGATATTGACGTCTCAGTCAAGTATTTGCATTACCTACCTTCTGCAACTTCTCTAAATTTCACCTCTGCATCCTTAGCTTTGTTTTTATCGGGATGATATTTTACAGCAAGCTTCCTGAAAGCTTTCTTAATCTGTCTGTCGTTCGCATCTCTAGGAACCCCTAAAATTTTGTAATAGTCCTTGGCCAAAGCCAAATCGATGACCAGAATGCTGAATGCCGCCGTTACAAGTAGAACAAGATTGTCACAGTTCATAGTCTTTTTGTCTGTGATTCAACAGGCAAACAGTTGATGAGTGAAGAATATTTCGATCCGTAAGAAGAACGACACAAAGTTGTCTACCTAAGCAAACGTGTTGTTTTCTTGGTAGCAGAACGTTTCCCTTCGAACTGCAGCATACGAAGCGTTCTGTGATTGGTCAGTTGGCAAAGATGACGTTTGATTTCCGCCGAAGGCGGCCAGTCCCAGAACTACTTGCAGCAGTTGCAGAATCAAAACAAACATGGCGGAGGATTCTTCGGACGAGGAGCAATATGAAGATCTTAACGTTCAAAATGGATACGATGGTGAACTTGAACTGTACCTCAGGGGTGATTCTGAATCAGATACAAGTGACTCGGCAGGTAGTATAATGTTGTGAGGGAAGTCTCTAAAACGGTGTACAGGGCGAAGTTTGTATAGAATGTAGCTAGGTGCAGAAAGAAGTGTTAATGCAATAGTAAAGGGATTTCGACTAATTTTCTCCTCAGTGGATATAAAGCCAGTATGGTTTGGGCTACTATCAAGAGGGCTATACGCTCGATTTATAGGAAACTTTTCTGCTTTATCAGGACTAAAGAAAATTCGAACTGACAACAATGTGTACACATGAAATAATTGATGGAGACTCTAGACTGTACTGACGTTAAACTTCGACTTTTGTGACTAGAGTTACTCTGAACATGACATTCATGAACTCAGCTGTCGTATAGCAAGCATATGAATTTGTATTTCGACATTCTGTCAGTAAAGAGTGATTTATCTGACTTACTAAAATATTTAATGTATTTGTTTTGTGGTTTTTATTCAGCTGAAATTGTCCAGGATAGTGATGAAGGCGGAGCCATTAATGAGTGTACAGTGAATTTTGACCAGTCTCTTCCAACGCGCCATCAAGTGAGCATTAGCCTGCACTCTTTTAACCCTAACATCAGTATGCAATTTCTCCCTACATTTCCTAAGCTGTCACCAAGAGGAATTTGTTCAGTAATCATGAGGTGCTTTAGTTAGTGATCACTTTCTTCATTCTCATGAACTTAATGTTTGATTCTAGGATTATTTTGTAAGGAGCAGTTAGATGCTAGTCACTTTTAGAGGTGAAATGGTTAAAACACAAATTAGTGTATATTTAGCAAAGTGTAAGACTTATGACTGGAAACATTAAATCTTGAACAATTAAGGTATTTGTCTGTTTTCCTTGCAGTATCTTGGTGAAGAAATGGATGAGTTCAGTGGACGCACATATCATGAGCCTGGTTCACATATCACCCTTCCATTACTGATGTTACCTGGTCTTGTTCTGGTCCCTGGACAAACTCTTCCTCTTCACTTATTTCAACCTCAGGTTGGACATACACTTTTAAGAAACATATTCATGACTTGAGAGATATACTAGACAAATCTTCACTTGAACATAGGTGAATGGTCAGCTTAACTTAACTCTGTTGCAACTTTTAAGAAACTAACTGACTGACTTTTACATTACAAGGTAAATGATTTGACCAACTAAACTGCAGCTTTTTTCAATTGAATGTCTAAGTAATACAAGATTGCATTGGTTTTACTCAACTATACCCTATGACTGGTCTAGAAAACTCTCTTGACCAACTTCCAATGAATAAAAAATTGCAACCATTAAGATTTGGTTGCTCATGTTTTCCTAAGCATCAAGCAGTTTCATTCTCTTTACTATGAGTTTTAATTGGCTCCCAGTGATATTTTCCTTTGGTCTTTTTAACTTTGGTTTTAGTCTTTCAAAACTATGTTGAAAAGGGCTCAGAAGGAAATAAAATAATCAGGGAATTTATCTCTCTGATAGCCATTTATTCTCTTTAATGGGTGGGAAGGTGGGACTGCACATTTAGTATTATTTGATTACAACTTTTTTGTTAAAAAAATATGGATGTATTGACTTTTATTAACTACATATGTAATTGTTCTTAACACCAGTCTGTGTCAATGATGAAAAATATTATAGAAAAAGACAGAACGTTTGGCATGGTAAATGCAAGGTGAGAGATTTATGCCACAGTCCTCAGAGAACATGTTTTTTTTTCTAATTTATTGCCAATGTTTTTTTCATAAGTAACTCTTCTGTTGGGAGATTGTATTGCAAGCTCATTTCAGGTTTTAAATGTTATATATTGTTTTATATCTTATCTAGGTCAAATTTTATCGAACATGATTTGAAATGATATTTTGATAAAAATTGTGAAACTGAAAATATGCAAACTTTTCTTTCTTGTTTCCAGTTTACAGTGACTAAAGACAAGAGCTCAAGTTCTTATCTCTAAACAAGCCTCTCATTATTTCATAATATCAATGTTTATTGTTTGATATCATGTTGTCCTCTAGATATGGCATTAACCAAAGCCAGCTGCTTGCTGCCATTGGAACCACAGCAGAGATATTCTCCATGAAAGAAGAGTCTGATGCAGGAATTAATACACTGCGTATCAAAGCTACAGGCCGTCAAAGGTTTCGAATTAAAGAACTGCGTAGGCAAGTGGATGGGTGAGTTACAAGGTTATGCAAGATAGTGACATGTTTTAGTCAATACCTTTTAAAGACTTATACTTCTGTAAAGAAACCTCTTATAGTCCTTTTAGCTTAAGTCTCTAAGCTAATAACTCTAACTGATACATGGTAAAAGAGAAGAACAGTTCCCAAAAGATATAGTTGGCCAACGGTCAACCAACTGTTAGCCGACTGTCAGCCAACCAATGGCCAACTGTGAATCAATGAAATATTGTTCACTTTTACCCATGCATGAGGGGACGTAAATCGTCTGTACTGTAAGTATCCCGGAGAGTCCCCTACATTTTCTTAGACTTTTAGTCTAAGAAAATGTATGGGACTTTTTGAACGCTCCAGGCAGCTCTCCTGTAAGGTGTCATAATCCTGTTGCTGCTGACATTGATGTGACAGATAATTGCTTTTGCACTGTTTTCTTTGCCGGCTTATACTTGTCATCAAGTTTCAATAAGACGGCTATCATTTTTCACAAGAATAATGAAGTTTTCGTAAATTGTGAGATCGGATGATATGTACTTACAGTGCAGACGATTTGCGTCCCCTCATGACAGTTGTTGTACAATATGTAGTACCTGAAAAACAATGGGAAGGCATGAACTGGAATAGGGTCACAACCAGTTGATAACATTTTCGTCACATTTAGTGTCTTTAGAATGAAGGAGTGAGCTCAAATATTGAAATTTTAACCAAGTTTTGCTTTTTCCTGCCTCAGTATTCTACTGGCCACAGTGCATGTTTTACCAGAAGTCAACCTTCCCTCTCATCCTGAGGGTGCACTTTGGTCTTGTTACCACAAGTTTGGTTGCCAGGGAACCACTAGTGGCTACCATGAAAAACCACACCAGGTCACCTCCAGAAAAAACAGACTGGGGAAGAATAAGTATCACAAGGTTAGATTTTAAGGAGGCATCAAATTTACTTTGATGAAGTAACACTACTTTTTCTTAATTACTTTTCTTAATTTCGTTTTCACTGATCAAGCTGCAGAGTGACAATCTTATGTAGCTATTGATCAATTAGTCCGTCTTATGTTTCTCTATATGGCAAAAGCTAAGAACCAAGCTTGGTGATCCCTGTGGTTTGTTTGTTTGTTTGTTTTTTTCAAAAGGGACACTGCTTGATATGAGGATTTAGTTCCCCCTTCTTTTGACCTTCATCTTTTTTAATAAAGTTTTTGTTTTGTGTTCAAAATCTTTCTAAAATCTTTAGGAAATGCTGTCTAGGGTGGTGAAAGTTTCTCTAATGCAAGAGAGAAGTTAGGTGAACTAGTTATGGCATCAAAAGCAGGACAGTCTATTTAAATGTTTGCTGCAGATATATATATATATATATATATATATATGTATATGTATATGTATATATATATATATATATATATATATATATATATATATATATACATATATGGTACTTTATTAAACTTGAATCACTGATCAACTCTATAGGTACCCACCAGTCTAAGTTCATGGCCAAGCTGGGTATATGAGTTGTACAATCCAGTAAGTTATAAAATGTTCAATAAAAAATATTAATCAAGGAGAAAACCTTCGGATACTGTCACATGATCAACCTGGCACATTCCAGATCTTCAGCAAGATCACCCACAGTTCTTTTTGGGAATGGTGAAAGTAAAGGATAAAACACATGGGTTTTAGCAGTGACTTTTCAAAGACTGAATCATAAAGGTTCTTTTCAATAGAGCTACAACTTTGAAAATATTTCCATGAAATATGAGAAACTGCTGGTGTCCACAAGCAAGTGTTATGATTTGTAACAGTTTACTGGAAACTGTTTATATTTTGTGGAGTAGAGGGTTTTCCCCAAAATACAACAGCCCATGCATGTCACCAACCAGTGTACCAATCATTTCTTTCCTGTATACAAAATAGAACCCAACAACACACTACTTAACAGCAACTTGGCAGTTTTTAAGGAAACATAATCTCACTATTGTGTCAAATTTAAATTTCTACAGTTTCTTCTGATGGAGCTAATCAAGAAAGAGTTAAAAAGTTGGAGTGAAACTCTACGTATCGACAATGTTCCTAGATCACCATTAGGTAACAATGATTAAGAACTAGTGCTTCAGTTAGTGTTGCATGATATCATAGGTTATAATCCATCAAATCCTCTTTCTTGTATGCCATTGGTCTAAATTCAACCCATAACAAAATATATCCCCAGCATAAACTGGTGAATATCCAAGAATATACCCAAAGTGATATTACCCAATTTTTAAACTTTTGTCCACTTCAAAAAAGTCATTGTTTGAAATTCAATTCAAGATGAGAGAACGTTTTGTGGTTGTTACAGAAGTATGGACATGTCTGTTTGTTTATAAAATTATACCAGAGAACATTGAAAAATTAACATCTTGCACAGTAAATGGTGAGTTGTTCGTAAATATTTTTTCTGTGTGATGCAACTGTATTTGAAGGATAAGAAACGCAATAACCTCTATATAGTGCAAAAATATGCTCATTTATTAGTCCTTGGACATTATCTGTTCCTCAAGCCTCACATTTTTCTTCAAGCTTTGCTCTTGGAAAACTGTTTGCATCTAAAACAGGTAGTGTCTGAGGACAAATATCCATGCATATTTTTGCACCAAAGGGAGACTATTGTTTGCATACTTACAACATTATGTGGAAGGTCTGAATAGTTAATGCTTTCAGGTAAACTGAAACAAGAATTTTCATATTTCTTCTGTTATGAGAGGAAGAACACTTTAATTGACCTTTACCTTTATCAGATACAAATGCAAAAATAAACACAGAGCAACTCTGTAGATAGCCTAACAATAATACTTTAAAACTGATACAATGCTTTGCAAACAGCTAATGCAGGCATCTTAAAAGAGTGACACTTATTGTTCAAAGTACATGTAATTGCTTCATAAGATGAAACAGTCGTATACTTTTTGGTGTCTATCATTTTCAGACTTTTCTTTTTGGGTGGCAGCCAATATGCCCTTAGATGATAGCCTTAGACTTCAAATACTTGGTATCAACTGTCCTACTCAAAGACTACGAAAAGAGCTAGAAATAGTCCGTAAGGTAATTTAAAAGATTCAAACTTTTAAGAGCAACCTCCTCTTTACTGTTAAACAAAGTATATACTTTACTGTAACATGTGCACCTGTCGTTTTTCGATCCTTCCCCCTTTTTTTCCTGCTGTTTTGTTTAGGTTTCTCTCTTTTTGTGTGGACCTTGGTATGTAGGACATACGTCAAAGAATACCAGCTTTCCTCACGCCCAGGGATTAAACTGACATTTAAAGTAACGATTTCTAATTTTGTTCTGGATCGTTTACTTTTGTTTCGTTGTTATTGGTTTTTATTTACTCGCCTTTAAGTGCCAACGAAGATAAGTTTACGCGAACTCAATTACCCTTGGTCTCGTTGGTTAACTGAATGTTTGACATTAGCAAGAAGTAATGGGATCAAAGACCCCATTTTTTTCTCTTTTCTATTTCGCGCAAGTCCATAGGATCGTTTTTCCGGGAACAACGAAGACGGATTGTAAATTTTCGTAAAGTTGAGAATGACTGTTTACTTTTTAAGAGTTTTGTTTGACCCTTATCGAATCCAGTTTTTAGAGGTACATAACTCTTCTCAAATAGACGAACCCCTATCTACCATCGATTGATTTCCAATCCTTTTTCAACCGACTGACGGACGACTGACGTCACACCCACTACCCCACTTTTGTCTTACAGTGTAGCGTGTTGTGCTGTCGTAGTTGTGATACCAAGATCGTGGAAAAAAGTGATTTGTTCAGGTGAGGCGTCATTTGGTGAGTTAAGACCATTCGAATATTAAAATGATGATTTTCAGAGTTCCATGAAACTTTCCTCAGTAATATTGCTCCAAATCGACGGAAAGCTAGAAAGCAGCGCACATATTTGCCTAGTGAGAACCTTTCGGCCTTTTTTGTGATTTATACGGTTGTTGTAAATGAATTTTAGGTATATTCAAGAACGTTTGTCCTCAAAGAACCCATTTTTTTCTATATCTCGGCTACCGCTACATATCATTGCACATACGAAGGAGAGAACCCGATAAATACACCTGGGAGCATGTCTTTCCTTAATTCATTTTTACTCTGGTCTCTCAATGATTAGTTGTAGCATGACAATGCCACACTGCAACAGGGTTAAAAGTTATGTCCAAATGTTATCCCGCATCTGGCTGTTTTTAACTCCGTTGAACGTTAAATCATAGTTCAATTAACTCTCCAGTATTTTTATGTTATTTTTCAGTATGTCCTTGGATGGTCCGTTGGGTGCTTATGTGAATCCAAATGGCTGGGTGCACGAGACACTCACATTTTACCGAGCCTCCGGCATCAGACTTAGAGGAAAACCCACCGCACAGAACAGCTGGTTTCCAGGGTAAGTCGGTATCTCCCCCACCCACCCCTGCTAAATGCTGCTAACCTTGTTAGAAGTAACCTTTGCGTAATTTTCTCTTGTTCTGTGTACTTTTTTATGGGGTTTTTCTGTTAGTTTTGCTTTCTTACAAATCAAATTTATCTCGGTAAGGGAGTGACCTCACAAAGCGGAGCTGAGTGTAAAACCAACATGCGAGATAAACATGGATACTGAAAGTCAGATGCTGGTAATTGAAGAAATTTACAGTGTGAAAGAGAACCTGACATTCTGGTAGAGAAATTGACTGAATGTGTAAAATCGAGGCAGATTACAAGCAGAGCGAGTTAAGTGTACACTACTTGCAGATTAGATTTTTGAATTTTTTTTTTCTTCTAGGTATGCTTGGACTATAGCTGAATGTGCCCAATGCGCTGATCACTTAGGATGGCGTTTCACTGCGGTCAAAAAGGGTCTGTCGCCCAATAAGTTTTGGGGACTAACCCGAGCGTCTCTGCGTCCCACCTTAAAATACGACGAGCAAGAAGAAACGTCGGGAAAGTATACAAGGGCGTCATCCTCCTCATCCACCTCTTCGTCCCCATAGAGACCCGTGCAGTGCAGCTAAAAGTAGCTCAAAATACTGGAAACCCCAGCTTTGAAAACCTTGGACCCTGTCTTGGCTCGTTGTTGTAGAGAGGATATCAAGTTTTCTAACTTGTGAGGGGTTAGAAAACTGTGAATGTCAATGCACTTCTTTAGAAGGGTTCCAGATAATGCACCTCCATACGTCGATAATTCATGTGGACTGAGTGAAAGACAAAAAATTTGTCAACGATAGCTATGACCGCACAACACTTTGAAAATGTAGAACAAAAGTTTGATGTTATATTGTAGAAAACTGAACTTTCTCTGTTTTGATAAAAATTGTATCAAACATGGACGAGGGATCAGTTGTATCCGCCACAAGGTTCTTTGTTAGTTTAAGCTCTAAACACGCGTACACAAGGTATCGTTATAGTTAGCAAAGCGCTCTTTACACCTTCGATACGTAAATGAAGTCGCAATTACCCAATAATTTTAGAGGACGCGGTGTACGTCTAGAATAGGGCTGTCTGAGAGCCTTAATCAGCGTTGCTGTATGTCGAGAGAAATTCTAATTTCTCTCAGCGTAGTGTTCTGAGTGAGAAAAATCAGAGCAGGAAAGGGAATACGGGAAGGCAGAGGAAATTGAGGCGCTTTGACGGTTAATGTTATAAGAGTTATCAGTAAGGACAACTTGACTGGCGGTAATAAGAAGAACAGTGAAACGTGCATAGTTAGGACTCATTGTTGACTGAGGAAGCATGAGTTGTGCTACTTCTAATGAAAAAGGAGGCGGCGATATAATTTTTTTTTCAGTAAAAACCAGTAAGCCTTGCGGTCGTATTGATACAAAGATGAGATGGAATTCTCTCGTATGTAGTTTAAATAAGAAATGGCGTAATACGCAAGTTCGCATAACAAATGTCTTCGACGAGAGAAACGAGAAATGAAGCTTTTTCACCTGTAATGGTATTTGATGATTTTAATTCGTTTTTTTTTTGTCACGAATCTTCTATCGACACCCACATTGACACAAATCAGTTGATTTTACTATCACAAGCAAGAACACAGAAGACAAAGAAAAGTGTAGCGGATGGCCATTTAACATCCCCAAAAGAAGTTGAAAAAATGGGGCTTGTCATGGACATTTGCGAGACTGACTCAGTAAAAAAAATTGCATGTTGATCAAAATGTATTTTGAAAGATTTAGAAGCGAAGTGATTAAGGTGGGGACAAATTTGGTTTACTAAGGGGGCGAATTCGCAAAGGTGGCACGGGGGCGAACCTGCAGTGGGGAGAATCCTCCAGATACCCCTTCTACCCGGTGATCTTGGAGATCCTCAGCAATCAAAACTGTTGCGATGAAAAGATCACTATTTCGGCAGCAGTGGCGATCATGTGGAAACCAGGTTTAACAAAAAATAGCGTTAGAAATATCCTGAAAAGCATAAAAAGTTTGTCAAATCGCCTTATGTATCCCAGAAACTCCCTAGCATGTGGAAACCAAATCAATCATTACGATCGCTGGCCGCGTTTTTCGACATTTTCGGCAATCAACGCAACTGGGAGGAATCTAGGCTAACTCCGAAAACCCTAAGAGTGAATAACATCCAATTTCTCCTAACAATATCACCCTTGAATTAAATATCGAGGTCACGAGAATGAAGGAAATAATTGCTAAGCTCTTGACTGTTCAAAAAAAATTTGTCCTTTTCATTCTCGTAAGGAATGGTAAGAGAACAGCATGGAGAAAGTGCATGCAGATGTTAGGGTGTAAAGGGTTACATGAAACAGAGCTAAATTTTTAAAGAGCCAAAGCTGACGTAGAGTAGGATTTATTTCGTGGAAAGCGCTGTTGCGCTGACTAACGGGGGAAGTTGTTCCGCTGCCTAGAGGGGGGAGATACTTTAGTTCCCGCAACCGTGAGTAAGAATTTCTGTTCCACGCGTTTTTCTCTGTTCTTTTGATCCCTGCATTATCATGTTCTAGTAAGTCTTGAGACAGAGGTCAAGTCTTTCAGAATTATTTGTCACTTCCGGGATATGTATTCCACCTAAAAATAAATTTTGTCCTCTTTTCTCGCAGTGAAACTTCAGTACAAAAAAGAAATTCTCTAGGACACGCGAAGTTGCTGGAATATGATGCTTCCATCATCACAATTTTATTTCAAGCGCTCAGAGCCATAGAAATGCATCGAGTGAACGTTTTATCAGTACAAAATACTACTATATACAAATCATCTATTTAAGTTCATAAAAATAGCAGTATGTGTAACGTACAACTTGCAATTCTTAAAACATCGGGTTGTTACAAGATCAGTCCAACAGGCGACGTTGCGATGAACCACCGTCAAAGAAATTCATCCCGTCGCTGGTCAAAATGTTATCCAAGATAGTGTCAAATGCGTGTTCCTCTCCTTTGCAGCGAACTAGGAATGTTTTACTACTAACGAAAACTCCTGCTGTTCAAGATAAGTAACGAGAATTTGCCGTTACCAACTAAACATTGCTTCAACCGCTATGGTGGCTCCACAGTTTCTCTAGAAGCTAATTTCTTCATTATTTCAAGCTCTTAGTATTTTTATTATTTTGTCCCTTTTCTTTATGATCTGCACTGATTAGGTAGAAATGAGGGGTGTTTCATTAAGAGGCATCCACCCTTCTATGATACCTGCCTTAGCGCGCCTTCCAAATCTGCTATTTAGTCTGTCTACTCATCCTTCTCCTTCTTAGCTCAGAAATTATCATGGAGACTCCTCCCAGTTACATAATATATTCTTGAAGAATTTACGTAATCTCCTATCGTGATTAATCTCTTAAATCCCATGGCCTGCACGAGATTTTCTAGTTTATCAAACGTACGAGGAGATTATAAACTATTTAACTCCCTCAAGTATCTATTCTTAAATTAATAATGTGAGTCCAATTTTTTTTTTCCTGCGGTGAAAGTAAACTTTTCTCGATTTACAAAGTTTCTTTTAAGCTTTTTATTTCGAGTCTTTCAGATTATGAAATATGTGAGCGGAAAAAAAAAAACTCCACTGAAGAACGAGGGTAAGACCTGTGATACGCCAGTGTGACGCACGAGGACCTCTTTTTTACAAATGTCCGGTTATAGAGAGCAAACACGGTAAAAGTCGTCTACAAGAGTGATCAACTTTGGTGTTTTTCTTTTGCATACTGTTTTTTCCTTCCGCTTGGTTTGTTCCAATTTGAAGCATTTTTTGTGAGATCTTTAAGATCAGCAACTGAACGTGACTTGAGAAATGTTCTCTGCTAAATTATTATTTTCTTCCCCGTTCCGTCATACGTCGACGTGGTCAGTTGTTCGTGAATATCGATAGGGATACATACTATTGTTTTTCGTAGACTGTGACGGGCTCATACTAGAACTCGACCCAGCTGAATATCTGTTGATCATCCTTATCGACTCTCTAACGTCTCTAAGCTCGGTCTTCATTTTCCGATAAATTTGATCGAGTGAATTCTCAAGCGATTCTACTTTTCCTTGTAGAGCGTCTGCAGGCAAATCTCCTCTGTCAATTGGATCACTTTCTAACCGTGACCGAAAAGTAGGGTGCGTGACCCGACCATTTTCAGTAAGCTCGTTCAGTTTTGCATGTGACGTCTGATTGTCATGACTGTATGTTAATGAGAGGTGTTGGAGATGTCCCGGATGGGTGTGGCTCGTGTCAGAGTATGTGCGTCTTGACGTGGCTGGGGATTCTTTAGTTTGCCCGGTGTGTGAAGGCCGCCACGAGTCTACAAATACTGCCTGTATTTTTCTGTTTTTGTCCCGTAGGGTTGGCTGATCGGATTGTTCTCCCTGCAAATCGCAAAAACAAAGGTTATCAGAAAACACTACATCCCCATGTAGTAAGTATTTCTTATTCCTGGTCATCACGTTTTTGCCAATAATAAAATGCGCGTGTATATAAATGCAGGTTTGGCCTTTTGTGTCCTAAAAGTTTGTTAACTTACTTCTAAGATAGTCGGCGGAGATCCAATGCTTTTCAACGAGTTTCTGCTGGTGCGTCGTCCGACATTTTGCTTCTGGAGAAAATTTTCAACGTTCCCGATACTTCTTGACACGTCAGTCAGCAACATGGCAATGTCGTCAGCCAAGAAGAACTTCTTCCAGTAATCATCTGTTAATAGTTTGACAGAAAAAGTATGGAGTGATTATTGGACTCCTACAAGTCACGCGTGTAACAAGAAGGAAACTGACACTTGGCCAGGATTCTATTGGCGTTCATTCCAGCTAGCAAACACCCCTTTAAGCAGAAGCTACTGAGTCACGGTACCCGCCTCATATGAACCCTAAATTTATAATATTCGAGGATATAGAACCTTTTATGGACCTGAGACTGCATCCTGACGAGATGTATTCTTGATCACACTTTAAACTCCCTTCAAGAGAGGATAACTCATGCCCCTTGGCTAGCCCTAAGTATTTTTTATTATGTTTCTCTGCGGTGGGGTACACTATTAAGATTATGAGGTTTATGTATTGGCGATGAAAAAAAAAAAGGGTTCACCAATAATTAATGGAAATATCCTGATAGCATAATCCTGCGTCATGTTCAACCCCCCCCCCCCCACCACCAGGAATCGAATTCTCTGTGATAATGGAAACACCTCTTGTGCTCAGTGGGTCAACAGCGAAAATGTGCCATGTGTAGTATGTTATCTTTGCTTATTCTGTCATCACACCAACTGCAGCGGACCTAGAAGCAGTTAAACCGTTAGTTAACCGCATGTCTCTTTCTGTCCTAGAGACGGCAGACATGTTTCTGTTTGAATTCTCTTGAGGACATAGTGATGTGAGACTTATCCACAATCTGTATAGCGTATGATTTGAAACTTAACTTTAGTCTACGTTTGGCAAGTGAAGTCCCTTCCCTCCCCTCTCCCCTTAGCTATCATACATACCTCGTGACCAGCTTTTCCTTGCGATCCTCCACCGCCGCACGCTTTCCGCTAGTTTGTGTTGAAACATTCTGAGTTTTTCAGATTTGAACCAGTCTCCCATCACGAGGGGTTCTGTGTTCTCCTGTATAAAGCGATGTAGTCTCCATGTGTTCTGGATGCATGTGGCTGCAAGATTCTTTTTTCCCGAATGATGATCTATGAAAAAGATAAATGCTCATAATAAACGATGCGTGGAGAAGACAGAGTTTGAGATCCACCTTCAGCGATGAACTAAGGGCCTCATAATCTGTTTCACTTTTGCGTGACTTCGCCCCGATATTTTTAGCCTTGGGTGACGAAAAAGCGCTGCCTTAATCAACACGTTGAACTCTAAATTATTACGGTGCGATGGTCTGCTTACTCTGACAGAGGAAGATTTCAAATAAATTGCTTACACTAATACAAAGTTCAACCGTTTTAGTAAGATAGAGTTAGCTCGATTCGGATCCGGTTTCTTTCTAATCTCAAAACTGAACAAAAGTGACATATTGGACAGGTACAATGATACTGCAAAACAAATGGGGGATAAAAATGAGAGTGCATTAATTTACCTGCATTCTCCATGGTCGCTAGTATTCTTTTCTCCTGTTGTTTAAGTTGAAGTGATTCGTGTACGACACTTATGAATAACGCCATGAGGAATATTCCCAACACTGACGCAAAACCAACAAACGCGCGGGCTAAGATAGCTTTGGGAACCACATCACCAAACCCAAGCGTTGTCATGGTGACCACAAGCATCCAGACAGTGTCCTGGCCAAATATTTTAAAAGAGGTTAAAACATAATGAAGAACATGCAATACAATTCGAGAATTTGTTTGATACCAAGATTAAACCTGAAATTAAAAAAGGAAAAAAAATACAATATTCTAGATTATCGCTAAGACTTTCCAATTGTCCTTTAACATGCGTTAAAGCGTTCGTTTTGCCTGAATTTTCTTTGCCCCCCGGTCCCCCCTCCTCCATCAACCAACTCTGATAATGACTTCCTCTAAGTTAATTGAAGCATCAGCATCTGCGTCCCAGAAGATTCCTGTTAAATCATACAGAGTTTTTGTGGCGAGAAAGGCAAAGAAAGCGTCAGGAATCAATGGGGGAGGGGGAATGGGGAGGAAACAGTGTAGCAAAATAAGTTAAGTGCAGCTAGACAATGAACTCACAAATATTACAGATCAAACTTAGATTAGCTTATTCCCGGAATCTTACTCAACTGAACGGTTAACCAATGTAGCTAAGAATATTTTTTTCATATTTATGCTGAGAAGTAAATATTTGTGACTGCATAGCAAAAATATCCCCTTGAAATAAGGGTTGATTCTTTGTATATTATAGAAATTCCCCTTCCACAGGTGAATACGGATGAAACTATTCTATTTTTTATCAACTGTAGATCCGATAAATTTGAAGGAATTGTTTTCATAAGTTGTGAGTTTTGTTTTGTTTTGTTTTTAATAGATCTTAATTAAGGAAGAAATGTAAATCGGTTTTATTAAAGACCTACTGTTGTGTTTCTGATTCGTGTTATTTTAAATATTACAGGCGCCGCTCAAGATTGTCGAATCATGTGGTAATAATTGCACCAGGTGTGTGTGATTATGTGATGCACTGGATTGTTTCATGGTTACTAATAAGACTAACTTAATACGATAAATAAGCTCCAATTAGTTTCAAACGCCTGATGTTTTTGTTTTCAAGGTCATTTCAATCGATTTCTGCCCAGGGGCAGAGCCTTAGTCCTAAAAGAAGAGAGAGAACCAACGTTCAATTAACATTGTATGAATTTTGGAATTTTTTTCTGCCTTGTATCCTTGGTTTCAGACGACGATTGCATATCTTGATTATATTTAGACTGAAAACATAATACGTCGACCTATGGAGAAAGAACCGTGTTTCTGCATTCATCATTAATCTAGACAAAGAAAGTTCCAACATTGCCGTTAAACAAATTGGTGTTATTCTATTCAGCAACTCAAAAAAAGTGTTATTGGTGTTATTTCAATTTGGCCTCTGATAGTGTTCTGTTCAAAAGGGGGCCACCCTCATTAGTTAAAATTAGTTTCATTAGATGCCAAGTCACGTTTGTTTTGAAACTAGTTAGCGGCATGGTTTTCCGAACTTGTTTTTTAATTACTAAGACTCGTCTAGAAATGTCAAAAATTAAAAAAGATTATGAGTTCCGTGCACCGAATATTTGAGCGAATAATTTGCATGTGAGTTAGCGAAAATAACAGGGAGGTGTGGTATCAATTGGAGGTAGATTCCCTGCTGTTCCATGATATCGTAGAAAGATATTGTTAACTACCAATCCTACTACTTTTTCTCGATTGTATATTATGAAAGTGTTCGGGAGTCAAATTCTTCTAATGTCAGCTTGAAAGTTTTATGAAAGTTTTGGAGCTTCCTTAGCGAGTGTTTCTTTTTTCTTTCTTTTTTTTCCTCTTTTTTTTTTTGGAGGGGGGAAGGGGAGGGGATTTCGTGTGTAGAACCTTTTCTAGCGAGTGTTTTTATATTTTAATTTGTCTTCTCTTACTTACCTATTACTCCCCCTTTCTGAAAATTGAGAGATCTTTAACACTTTACAGAGCCACATATGCATGCATATTTGCAAACCCAGCGAGCAAATTAGTCCGTACAGTTACTTGTGGACGGGCTGCTTTATCGCTTTACTTCCTACAGCGTTCTATTGTTTTACACAAAAAGTCATCCAAACAATGTAAGCTTTTAAAGCAAGCTCAGTCATTGTTCCCGTAAAGCTTAACAGCTTTTCATGCTTGACCACCAACCTGTGTACTCCAATTAAGTTCCTTTGCAGGCTTACACGACCAATTATCGAGTTCTAGTTGCAGACCCAAACGCACAAAAAGAGTATATTCGACCATTAATGCGAGCTTATTTTCACCGAGTTTTGCACACTTTTAACGCTGTGTGCAAAGCCAACAATCGTTATTTTTTGTCACTCTTTGGCACGAACTACGACTTGAATAAACATCAGGTGATGACGAGATTTTGGTGTGGTTCATGCGTGCCGAAACGGAAACTCTCTCAATACTTAGTTTTAGGAACGGGTTGATAGCTGTACATACTTGGTAGCCTTTTAAGTGCAAAGTAAGCATTTTCAGTTCTCTATGGACAGTTACTAAATGTTATTTTCCTGAATTCACATATAACACGTGAACATTACAGAGTCGCACATGTTTGTCTTCGGAGAAGAGGGAAGCTGGCGTTCCCCGAATTCTTTGAAGCTTCCGTGCGTCCTGTGACGAAGTCTAAGCTTTCGATGGGATGTCACGATTGAATCGCCGCTTACTTCTTCTTTAGAAGTTGCATCATCACTATTTAAGTTGTTTTTTAACAGTGGTTATCGCCGCTTTATTTTCAAATATACAACAGCGTGTTCGACATCGTTTCGGCACGTGATTTTCTTTTTCTTAATATGCTTTGACAAACAGAAGTAAGAAATAAACACCATTTTGTTGTTTGTGATATTTGGAGGCGAGAGGTCGCCGCGAGACGTAAAAGATAGCGCTGAATAGAGTGTTAACAGCAGATAAGAGCTGAACGAACAGCAGATCAAAAAATGAATTTATTTTCTCTTGTTGGCGAAGTGTGGGGTCGTTTAATTTGCTGTCAGTGCTTTGTGTAAGAAAAGAGTAACTCGTACTAGCACAAAAACAACTGATTAGAATTACAATAGAGGTTGGCTTGATGAAGAGCTATTCAATTTTTAATCACTCCAGCCCCAGCTGTGGTAGATGTGCATCAAGATTAACAGATAAAACATTTTACACCATAAACATACACGTAATTTTTGAACGTGCGAGATTATAGAAGAATATTAAGTAACGAATTTACAGTAGACAGAGGAAAAGCTCTAAAATTTCACACTAGTTCGCTCATCTTGAAAGGGGTCAATCGCAATAAAAGACAAATTAAATTTTTGGATATGACAGAGTGAAAGGGTTGAAATTGAAACCATTATTTTTTAACCAAAACAAACGTTTGTCTAGTAAAGTAATACACTGGCTTTGAGCACAATAACGCCGACACTTTGTAAACCATTGGCACCGGAATTCATATCCGAAAAGTAAACAAATTTCGACAAATTACTCATTGAAAAACCTGCTTTTGGTTCGTCAGAGCAAGAAAGCGCTCAAGATGGCTCAAATGGCCATCTAAGTAAACATACTGGTTTGTATTTGGACCTTACGATGTTTTTAGCTTGGGTAAAAAAATTAAATCTTGGCAAAATTGTGGAAAAAAAGTTTTCATACTTACCAAATAAGTATTGTGAGCCCTGTCGATAACGTAGACACAATAGCCACCCAAGAAAATGTTGAGCGAGTAAAATGTAAATATCAGTTGGAAAGGAAACTTCAAAAAGTAGGCTTTTATTAGGAAAATGGACGAGATCTCCGTTTGTGTCACAGATGCGAACAATGCTGTGGCACGATTGTCTACAAACATGTTGTGTTCTTTCACGTACTTTGCCATCAGATATAATCTTAGGAAAACCAAAAGCTGAAGTTCATAAGGCATGCCATAGTAGTCTAACAGAGGCGGAACATGAAACAGACAAAGAACCACTTCTACCAAACAGGTGGGAAAGAGCGAAGTCATAACAAATCTCTCTGACTCGTGGTAAATGTTCCTTACGATTAAGTAGCTGAGTTCGTTTACATTCATACGATAAATTGTGAAGGAGGTCAGCAGCGATAAAGCAGAGAGAACGGACTTCACTACTAAAGCTGCAAGTCTGTACGGATTATCAAGAGCAGTACGCAAATCTCCTGGTGATAGCTCTTCATCGGAGACTCTACCTCGCGTGGTGAGTTCAATATCCACCAGTGCTAAGACAGCCGATGTAAGTCCCATGACACACGCAACACTTGACAACATCTTAATCCTCCGCTTGTAAAATTTCTTAGCTGCGTCAAAATCTCTAAAAGATAGCAATGCCTGATCAGGAGCCTCGAGCCTTGCAGATATTTTGCGGGTAATCACCTTCTTCCGAGTCCTACACTTTTCCGTAGGTTTTATAGAAGAATTGTCCGGCTCTACATTGACACAGTTCACTCGCCGATGACTCTCCATGTCCGTAATGATGTTGATGTTCCTTAATTGTATCTTATCCCTCGCAGTATGTGTTTGTTCTGCGGAGAAATCCATTAAGAATTGGTTAAATTCTTGTTGTAATACCTAAAGCTCAGAGGTCGGTATCGGACACATGAACCAAAACAAGGAATTATTCTAACGCCCGTAACTAAGCCAGCGGTAATTTCACGCGAACTCACGAACAATAATTAACGCAGCACGTAGCGTGTATTTGTAGACACTAACCAATAATGTTCGGTTTGCCGCTATCAAATAGATAAAAAGTACAATCATATTAGAATGAGTTAAACCCTACAAGGGATCTACAGTTGGTGGAAACATATGCTCTTAAGACTCACTGATAATAATATATGACGATAAATTTTCATTTCAAAAATTGTTTCCTTGTTATGGGATTTGTGGCAACACTTAAGTGAAAGATGGACAAGATAAAAACAATGTTTTCAAATCGCAAACAAGCTCAGCGGGAAAACCAAATAATTATGAAGCTATGTTTATTTTATGTTTTATATGCATGTCGGTTCTCTTATTTACCGCAATTACGGTACACTTGACAACGACGTCAATAACTTCCACAGAGAGTTGACAAAAGGCACTAAATTTTTATTAACTACAGCGTAGTACTGTGTGAAGGATCTATTGTTTCTCATTTGAATTCATTACCGGAATATGTGGAAAAAAAATATGAGAAGAGTGAATCAAACGCTGTTTTGAAGTTTCCAGTCACGCCGTTTCTTTATCATCCATGTTATCGCCAAGAATCCACGCAGGAGTCGCACAACAAACAATTAAGTTCACCAGGCTGTTAGAATGGTAAATATAGTCATGCACATATGCCTTTTGGGCATAAAACTGAAATGATAAGAATCTTTTTGCAATGTATGAGTTTTTCTATATTTTCATATCATGTGCTATAATGACAATATTTCAAAATAATAATAATAATAATAATAATAATAATAAAATTCCTTTAAAAAAATTAGTGGCTTATGAAAGAAACTGTGGCATTCAGTAGTTTACTGCATTTGAAAAGATGCAGGCCCGATGTTTAATGGAACATATCAACTTAAATAAACTGAAATACTCTCTGCAGGCCTATGCGGCTAGCAACGCGTTCTCTCAAGTAACACGGGGAAACTGTCACAGTTTTAGTTTGTCACAAAGAAAGAAAGATTCCTCCGTAGCAGGCGTAGTATATTCGGTTACAAATCACAGTCGATCGCAGGTTATCAGTTTCGAAGATATAGAGAAAAAACAAATAATCTTCTCTAACTGATCGTTGCTTCGGCTTTATTCAAAGCAGAGACAAGCGTGTGTTTCTTGTAAATTATTCATATATCGTTCGCCAATGCTATCACTGTAATAAGTGTTTCCGATGGTTGCTAAAATAAAAATTCAAATATAATAACAACATTAATGATGTAAAATTTGGTCGATGGACGGAATCGCGTGCTAGATCCATGCAAAAAAAAAAAAAAAAAAAAAAAGTCTCCATGCCAAATGAACAGGAATAGATAGTTCCCTTATTCAAACTTGTTTGAAAGGTGTCGCATCCAAGAAAAAGGGCGGGTACTTTGTCCACTCCATATCATTTAAACTCGTTGTAAGATTAACAGTGGGAAGAAATATCCCTCGTTCATATCTCCCAGTTTTATTCACCTTTGAGCTTTTGTCCCTGGCTTCGTAGATATTTGTTTCGAAAGGAATAACTGGTGTATGGGTAGATGACAAATTGAATAACTAAAGCTCATTTTCGATGTAAACAGCTGGTTACGTTTAGCGAAATGTATTAATTTTTTGTTTTCGCTTGAAACTCGGAAAGACAATTATGTCTTTGAAAGACACCGTCATAAGCCACAGTAAGAAGCTGTTATTTGTTTATGCTAATCATTTGGTGACAAAAGCTATGTTTGCCGCGGCGAATGAAATGGTTTTTTTTTTAATTTTTGTTGACACTATCGTGGAGACTGAAGAAACCGAACGCATTGAAATCGACAAGAATGAAATGTACACCAACTAAATATTTCCATATTCAGCGGAAAAAAAAGATAAGGGGAAAAAATTTTAAAAAGATTTCAAGATGCGACGATGACTATTTCCATTTGGGTTCATTTAACGAAGCTTAATTAAAAAGGCGTACTTCATTTTCTTAACTGCTATTTTTCGTTGTTTTATGATGAAAGAAATCAGAGCGCTGACACGTCCAGTGGGGTACTAATTTAGGGAGTAAAACAAATGCATTACTTACTGTACACACTCGGTAGTAGACTGTACGATTTGTTCATTTGTGCCAAGTCCCGTTAGGCATCATTATACATTTAATATATATTTCTTCATATTTTTTCTTCTCCGTCAAGAAATTCATTTCAAAGGAAGAATTATTGAACTGAAAAGCCTTTGGATAATAACTTTTCCTTAATTGGACGTTCACTCATGGTAATACCCAAGCAAATTTATTAAAGTGATAGCGGAAGCAAGAGGAATATGAACAAATCAGCTAGAAGCCAGATCAAGCACATCATGAAATATATCATCATTTGAGGAAAGTTAACTTGGCCGGGAACACTTAGGGACTGCCGGCCCCCTAATCTTATGCCGATAGAAATAAAATAGAACAATGAATGCTGTTAATATATGCCATCATGATCTAGGAGCTTTTTAGTAAGCTGAGAAGGAAAACCCCTTTAACCTCAAGTTATTAAGAATGCATATCAAGCCGTGCTTTACACCTTTGCACTTGTCCCTGCTTTGTCTTAGCGAATGATCAGAAACCGAACGACATCCTGTAATCATCTTAGTCTTCTATGCGCTCTCTTATTTTTATTTTTCACCAAAATACCCCAGTTATTCTAACCCCAATGACAATTCCGTTAATTATCTCTTAAAGTGATGCATTTGGGCCTTAGAGTGGATTTTCAGAAAGGACTTTCTATCAATCTGGAACCTGAGGACAATGGAATAATACCTTTCTTATCTCCGACAGCTCACCTTGTAATTTGTCCCTTATCGATACTGTGGCAGACCCTTTATGTCAGTCAACCTTTCTGTTGGAAAACTTTAAGAGAGCGATTCCTCGCAAGCTCGTTCGTTCTCGCTGCTTGTAGGTGGTATGCGGCGGTCATCAAAAGCAAGTACAACCCAGTCTGGCGGCCGAGTGCGTTGACGGTCTCAAAACAGTCTCTCGCTTGATAAAAAATTTACAACTTTTTCCATCATTCTTAAAACGTCAGCATTGTTTCACCTTAATTGGTTGGATTCATAAGAGGGTATTGCGCAAAAATTTGAGCTTATGCGATTGTTTTCTTTTGTCTGGTTGTTCTGATGGTCTTGCACTCGATTCTGTGTTCTCAGCTCTGTCCTTTCGTTTACATAGCATTTCACCAATCTGAGAATAACTGTCTTTCTCTGACATTGACACCTCTAACTAAGTTCTGATAGCTCCCTTCCGCTGTAGATGATATTAGGCTACTTATACCTAATTTTCCGAAAGAAGAATTCACCTATCTACCTCGTAATTCATTTCTGTATGATGTACGTAAAGAGTTTTTTTTTTGTTTTTTATTTTTCTGGCTGCTGTGTTGCTAGATAAAGCAGTTCTTACGAGCGAGCCCTTACGCAGGTTAGTAATTGCGAATACGGACTTCCTTTCCCATATCGTATGCAGCCGGCTGTAGTCTGAAATATAAATACCTTTTGTTACTGAGTACTGACAACAATAACCTGGGTCAGCATGATGCGTGAATAGTCGTAGACGTGTTTTAAGTGAGAAAGAGAAAGCTGCATTCAAAATCATTAAATCATTGTTCGTTTTTTTGGTCGAAAACAGAACAATTCCGCAGCACTGCAAGTTGTATCATCAATTCTGAATATTTGCGACTTCCTTTACGCAAAGTGACAGGATATTTTAAATATTGATTGAAAATTTCGGCCTCACCTGAATCGGAAGTCACTAAATTATCTCCATCAATGTGATAAGCAGTTCTTTCGCTGTGGGATATGATCACAAAACTGTTGAATGTTAGATACATATAGGATTTCTTGCAAATTGATGTGTCCTTTGATTTTAGTTGCTCTCCCTAAATAAATTACTGTCGCGTTGCGATGTCGAGGCAACCATCAGCGCTGTAACTGTTTTTAAGAATTGCCACAGAGTAAGTGACTCGTTTGTAATTTCGCTATGTATCAGTTTGCCTTTTATGTAAACAGCTTGGCATGGGCATCAGTGACACCCTTTTAGTTTCTGTCACTTCTCTGTAATTAAGGAGGCAAAGTTTGCTTTTGGACGAAATTACAACTGTTTTACTTCGCGGCCATTTTGACTAAAGCAGAACAAAGATTGCATTATAGAAAGTGTTTGACTCAAAAATATCGCATCAAAAAGATTTAAATTTTTAGTAGAAAACGCCGCACTTATTGAGAAAAAAATTGTGAAGAATAGCCGAATAATGATAGAAATGTCTGATAGGCGAAACAATTAAAGCGAAGGATTTCTTTAAAACTGCACATCAACCACCCAGTTTTGCCTTGTTTTTCGTGGGCAACTGCTGGCGGGGTTACTCGAACATCCCCCTCTTCGTCCTAAAAACGTTCGATTTTGTATACCATTTCCTTTGCCCCAAAGCCAATGTTTATGAGAAGACTTCTTTTTACAGCAACTATTCAACAACTTCACAGATTTAGATTGCTATCTGCAGCCTAGATTTCAAGAATCTCCGTGGTAAGTTACAACAACGTTTTCCGATTCAAATCGCTGCACGGATCATCGAAAGATGAGCAGAGCCGGTGCTTTCAATGATAATAGCAAACTTTTGATTAAATGCTCCTTCTCTTCATGTGTAGTCAAAAGAAAGTATACCATGTAATTACCTGCCATTAACTGCCTTCACGTGAACAAAACTGACCAGACAAACCTCAGGATACGAACAAAGAGCTCTAGAAAAAGTCGCTTATAATCAGGGAAGAAAAGATGGAGGACATTTAAGGATTATGGGAATCGCAGGATTAGCTACCGTAGTCGCTGTTTCACTTCTTCGGAAATTTTTACGCAGACACTA